GAGGTCATAAAGAGGACGCGACTAGGTTAATTAAGAATAGGTAGGCTTAGTAAAACTAACATATCCTATGAGACTAACTACAAGATCATGGTGGATGGTGACCAGCAGGCTGGAGAAAGCGCGTGGAATTTGACTCTAAGAAGCAATAGGGAGGCGTTAAGTTATGCACCAGGATGAGAACAAATAGACAATGGAAATTTTGACGAGACTTCAAGGAGCTCATTGGTAAACTCTATGGTGGAGGCATGCTTATCCATAGACATCGAGGTTGACAACCTTATAAGTCGAATTACACCAAATGAAGAATGGCGTATAGGAACTTGGAGGACGACATAGAGCTCAGCGCCTTCAAAGTGGCAAGACCTCGGTAAGGCAAAGTGATCTAGTGAAAAAGTTTGGATCCCAGCACACACAAGGCCTACGGAAAGATTACACGAGCCTAAACCAAGCATACTAAAATTCTTCTTAGGAAGTTCAGGAGAAAGGATAAAAGATACACGATAACAATGTGACACCAGTGAATGGTGGTAAAGGTGTGGAACCATTTCCAAGCTACCTCATGTGAACTACTCACCAAGTCGATAGTATCAACGAGCTAAGAATGGAGCATCTGGTTATTATAAGGGATGTAGGAAGCCTTACAATTATTACCCAACTACGAGACCCAAAAAGCTAGTAATACTCTGGCTATGGAGGGCCAAATATCCTTGGTATATGAAGAACAACGTTGGATCGTAGAAGATGAATTTAAAATTTATCATCAAGGAAGTCAGGAGCCCCAAAGTGTGCTCACCTGCATTATTACGGTCACTACTAGTCTATACGATTGGGCCACTAAACCTGTTGGGTATTGGTTATCAAGTCCTACGCCCACCCACAAGAATCTAGTAAATGAAATTCAGTTCTAGCTAAGAGTTGCTAAATAGGATTGGGGAAGAGTTGAGGTGTACCTCGGCAATAGGTTGATGATGGAATCAAGAGTCGTGACAGTAAGATGACTTATATGACTCAACGAGCAAGATAATTCAAGGAGTCTCGACTATATTGAACTCGCCAACAAGTGGATGAGTCTTGTTGAATAGGTAGGTACAAATTTATGGACAAGAAAGGATCTAGGAGTTGTAAGGAAATTTTATAAGCGGTATAAATTCATACGATTACGAGGGACTAAAGAAGTGGATAGGCAACCCAAATCATAAGACTACCAGTAGTCAGAATATGATAAGCAATGCGGAGCAAGCGAAAGAGATTAAGAGAGAGATCATGTTACGTCACTACAATGTGGGAATAAATTCAAGTAGTGATCTAATTTCGAGAAGTGGATAGGCAACCCAAATCATAAGACTACCAGTTGTCAGAATATGATAAGCAATGCGGAGCAAGCGAAAGAGATTAAGAGAGAGATCATGTTACGTCACTACAATGTGGGAAGAAATTCAAGTAGTGATCTAATTTCGAGGACAAAACTTTTATAAGTGGGGAGGAAATGTAACACCCTGCCCTTTAACTTTTTGTACAGTTCCTAAAATACCCTTAGCTAAATAGAAATGACCTTATTATCACTATATAATTAAGCTAAACCTAAACCCTAAGGAACCCGACTACTAGCTAGCAGCAAAGGAGAAACACCCCTAGATCCCATTACTATTCTTATTTTCTAAAATACCCCATGTCGCCGCCTTACCCATCGGGAACGGAACAACTAGTGAGAGTGAGGCTAAAAATTACGCACGATGCCAACAAGTGGCGTCTATGACGCATACGACATGAGATCGTCCCATAATCGATGAAGGGGATCCGTCACTCGACACAAACCTCCACCGTCACCGCTTAGAAGTACTCAGTGATCCAGTGAGATAAGGAAAAATGAAGAATGATGGTTGGATCAGCTTCATGGCGGCAAGGCAACTGGCAAAAGATGGGTTCCAACAGGAAGGAGAATATCGATTGAGGTTAGGAGATGACGATTGAGTTGTCGGTCAAGAAGAATGAGCGATTAACTTGGAAACTCAGCAGCGATGATATCAAGGCTACATTGAGCGGGCCAACAGTTGTGTTATGGGTCGATTAACTCTAACATGACTAATTGCACTGATTATAGTTAGCCTTGGGGAAGAGTTTTGTAGACAGCAGAACGCCCCAGTAAGTTGGGACAATTACTTGGTGTGGCATGAGTTCTAGGGTTTGAAAACCTGAAGTGAAACGTGGTATGAGGAATACATTATGATTTATATATGGGAATGCATAATTCTCTAGCTATGACAAGAGCTGCACTATGATAAATTGACTCGTCTCGAATATCACAACAAAATCCCACCCAAAGTCCAAGTATAAACCTTAGATGGGTGCAATATAGGGCAAGTATGTTTAAATATCAACCCGGGCCGGTCCATGTATCCCTACTTCCATTGTTAGAAACATTATCTAGCGGATTGGTTTTTGGTTGAAAACTATGAAGTTTAATTAAAACAAAGCAAATGTAAATGGTTTGAAAGCTCTAGATGAGAAGGATCACTCGGGTGTCGCTTTCCCCTAACTACTACCATAACATGTGGAATCGAGTGAGACGTTATGGTGCGAGGCAATCATGAACCGCTAGCAAATGCAATTAATGTCGAAGACCACTCTCTCAATTGCCAAGCCAAGGGATATAGGCCACTAGGGTATCCCTCTTGGTGAAAGCAATTGAGGGTTGACTTACCTTCTCCCTCAAACTGCTGGTCGGACGGTTTAATCACGATTAATCTAGTTGTTTAATTAAAGATAGAGGGTTTTCTTACATTAACCTAGGTAGGTGGCTTGAAAAGCCCAAGGAATCCCAACTCAATTGAATCTCTTTGATAAGGGGGGTTTGACACGCCAAAACACGACACCAAACTGCGACCAAGTGTAATCGCAGTCCGGAAATGCAGTAACAGGCAAGCTCTAATTGTCAACCCGGGGTCTAGATCTACTGCCTACTCCATGTATATCTGTTATCTAGCAAACTAAGTTGATTGATTGTTGATTTAAGTGAAAGCAGTAAGAAAACAGGAAATGGTTCGGTTTTCTAAAGCAAAGGAAGAGTCACTCAGGAATGAGTCCTCCTAGCTCCTTAGTTAGGTCATAGTTGTAATTACTTTTGGTTGCTTTACTGCTGATTATACTGCGGAAGATCCGACAGTAGCTTGGAATCTCTTAAGCTGACCAAGCCCTCTTAGTCAAACTACCCGGCAGACGACTAGTCTTCACCAGGATAGATAGCTGAGGCAATGAACACAGAACTCCACTACTGAAATTAGATTCCAGTACAAAGCAGTGAATCGACTAACTCTCGTATAATCGATTCACTACTACTGATTGAAGAAGCTCTAACAACCTAATCAGATTCTATCTATCTCAGGTTGCAGCAGAAATCAATAAAAGATGATCAGACTTCAATTGACTCACAAAACACTTCAATCGATTATAATCAAGCAATATCACAATCCAAAAGTCGTTACAACAATGATCCCTAACACACGGAACTAGGGTTCTTCATACCCAAGTGAGAGAGAGTTCTACTCCATAGAGAGAGAGGGAAACAGAATACAAAGCAGTCATACTCATAACAATGGGAAGAATCTGCTCTGGGATGATGATCTTCACACCTATGATGATCTCCAAGCTCGATTGATGAAACCCAACTCCAAAATCACTTATAGGATGTGTTCTTCACACTTTCTCTCTCTAGGGCTCTGTTTTTGCTCCAAAAAGTCGATTCCCTCTCCTTTATCTCGAATTTGGGTGGAAACCCAGAAATTCCCGACCACACGGCCATGTGGCTTTCCCAGCTGCCCGTGTGATATGATCCAAATCCGAAGAGAATCCTCGAACTCGGATTATATGACCAAAGTACGCAGCCTTCCTTCTTTTTAAGGATTTTCGAAGCTTTTCTCCAACTTGAAATAAAAGATAGATGCGGAATCAATCGGACAATTCCAACTCGTGACAAAGGGCAATTGGTATCTTAAACCAATCGGACATAATCAACTCGTGGAAAGGGGCAATTGATATAGGTCGATGCTCACCACAACTAGACGCGTTCTCTAGTTGATAAGAGACACGTACAATCTCCTGGAATCCTCGACAGAAGTCTTGCACAAAAGAACTCGTTCACAATGAACTAGAACTCAACTTTGATTAATAACTTGGATAATGGGTACAAAATTCGTAGCTCTTACATCCTCTATTTATAGAGGTCTCAAAAACATAAAACTAACGTAAAAGGAATAGGAAAACAAATCCCAAACTAACTAGGAAACATAATACCTACTTAAATAAGGACTATAACTCATTTTTATGACCAAAGGATGCTCCTTAGCAGCTAAGTAATCTCCAAACACGTTTTTAATGCTTAAGGAAGCTCCTTAGTGGTTAAGTAATCTCTTTCCTTGCCCTTTTCACATTTGGACGACTTGGGCAGCAAGGATGGACGTTTTGGGCTCCAAGAAATGTTGTAGGCCCGATCCTTAATGCATTCTCCATTTTATCCATCAAGAATGGTCCTAGTTGATCCTTAAATCGTCGAATATGAATCTTCATGTTTGGACCACGGGAATTAAATATCGTGCTAGTCGATATTGCATCATTCCCTCTCTCTTGAAGAAGATTCGCCCTCGAATCTTTGTAGAATCTCGATCCCTGTTCAGCGCCCATCTTCTTGGTGTTAGAACCGAATCGGTTTGGTAGCGATAATTGTATCATTCCCCCATTCTTAAAAACAATTCGTCCACGAATTGTAGAGACACCGTTTTTATGAACACCTTCCACATAGCTCTGCAATTCTCGTCGCTTTTCCATGTGTGCTCCCTCTTCGAAAATTGCATCACCAACCACGAAATCAATATGATCATATTCTGGAACAATTGATGAATCCCCCAAAATTTTCATGCATTCATCTCCTCCATTAATTTCTGGTTTCTTCATATATTGCTCACAATCCGGCGCACACAAAGTTGGCTCATCAACAAGAATATCTTCTATCGCCTCCTCTTCATCGCAACAAGTATCGAAAAGTGGACCTTCCATAGGTGAGATTTCAATATACTCCTCCTTCTCTTGGTCTTGCTCTGGATTTGGATTCCCTATTGTCAAATGAGCTTCGGGTTGGATTACCAATGCTGGCGCATTAATCCCCAACAAAGCTTCCAATCGAGCAAGTTTGGTGTCCCATTGTTCTTCCAGTTGTGCTTGCCCTTGAAGAATAACTTCGATCGTCGTGAGAGCTTGCTTCATCGTCTCCACTAATCTTTGACCTTGCTCCATTATTGATTTTCAAAGACTAACAAGAATCACAAAAACAGAAAAAAACAAACAAATAATATTTTTTTTCTCTTTCACGACGTACAGCTTTGTGGCTGTGTAACAAGATTTTTTTTTGTTTACTTTTTTTTTTAATTACGTGAACAGTACACGAAATTTAAAATAAAACAAAATAATTAAACTGAAACAGAAAACACAACTACTTTATTCTACCTCAAGAATGCTTGACGTAAACGAAAAGAAAAAAAAATAATTCTTTTTTTTGTGTTTTTTTCTGATTTGTATTTCTTTTTCTCAATCTTCCTTTTTCAATGTTTTTTTTTCTGGCTTTTCTGGAAATACCTCTTACAATAAAAAAAGTACTGAAATTAAAATACCTCTTTTTTGCCGCTGAGTTTGAATCGGGCTCTGATACCACTTGATATGATCAAAATCCGAAGAGAATCCTCGAACTCGGATTATATGACCAAAGTACGCAGCCTTCCTTCTTTTTAAGGATTTTTGAAGCTTTTCTCCAACTTGAAATAAAAGATAGATGCGGAATCAATCGGATAATCCCAACTCGTGACAAAGGGCAATTGGTATCTTAAACCAATCGGACAGAATCAACTCGTGGAAAGGGGCAATTGGTATAAGTCGATGCTCGCCACAACTAGACGCGTTCTCTAGTTGATAAGAGACACGTACAATCTTCTGGAATCCTTGACATAAGTCTTGCACAAAAGAACTCGTTCACAATGAACTAGAACTCAACTTTGATTAATAACTTTGGATAATGGGTACAAAATTCGTAGCTCTTACATCCTCTATTTATAGAGGTCTCAAAAACATAAAACTAACATAAAAGGAATAGGAAAACAAATCCCAAACTAACTAGGAAACATAATACTACTTAAATAAGGACTATAACTCGTTTTTATGACCAAAGGAAGCTCCTTAGCAGCTAAGTAATCTCCAAACACGTTTTTAATGCTTAAGGAAGCTCCTTAGTGGTTAAGTAATCTCTTTCCTTGCCCTTTTCACATTTGGACGACTTGGGCAGCAAGGATGGACGTTTTGGGCTCCAAGAAATGTTGTAGGCCCGATCCTTAATGCATTCTCCATTTTATCCATCAAGAATGCTCCTAGTTGATCCTTAAATCGTCAAATATGAATCTTCATTTTTGGACCACGGGAATTAAATATCGTGCTAGTCGATATTGCATCATTGTGTGAGTGTGCAAAACGTCGCGTTTCACTTTAGTGGCTTCGGGTATGCTACACGGCCAAAACCACACGGCCGTGTGGACTTTTAGGCTGCCCGTGTGAGCTCCCTGGACTTTCCACACGGCCACAAGGGGTCCCCTACACGGCCAGTGTGGCTTGCCCGTGCAATTTGATGTCACACGGCCAGGTCACACGGCCGTGTGGGTTTTTAGACGTGCCCGTGTTGCTTCCTCAGCTTCTCGCCAAATGTCCAATCTTTGTCCAATCGACCCCGAACTCGTTCCCAAACCTTCATTCACGTACTAGGACCTGAAATATCACAAACAAGAACAACCTAGCGTGAAATCGGCCTAAAACACGAGAAATAAGACTCAAACGGTGTAAGAATGGTGTACATATCAAGTCATCAAATTCCCCCACACTTAAGTGTTTGCTTGTCCCCAAGCAAACCAAGTCAGATACAAGGTAAGCTAACATATTTCAATCATACCAACATTGGGGACGAATCACATAGGCACAGAACACGTGAATCGTACTGGCTTTCAAACATCAACACATGAACAACTTTAATAGCAACATGGACAACCACCACAGAGGACATTAGAGTGAAGCAAGATCGAGTAAAGGATGAGTCTCCCTTCTGTTCATCAACTAACATAGACTTGACTCAACCACTTACTCAAGACAGTCACCTCATGCACATAACTCAAGATATCAGAATTGAGACCGAGCAATCTAGGTCCTCACCGGGGTAAAGAGTATAGAGAATATGAGAAAATGAAATGCTCCCTCTCGACCAGTGGGGTCAGGACAATTTGATGCGAAAAATGCGCATGCTTATTCTCTCAATCCCTAACGTCTCTTCACCATGAAGGCAACCTCTAAATGTTAGAGTTCACATATGGGGTGTGATAACGATGTAATTGCACGTATTTGCACCCCTAGTTCTTATCCGTTTGAGGGGCATAGTCGTGTATTTTTGGCCTATTTTACGCTGGGTTGTGCTACTTTGTCATATTTCAGGTCCCAGGCGTCAAAGGAAAGGCTAAGCACGAGTTTCGGGGCATTCGGAAGTCATTCGGTCAAGCTGGAGCCAAAACACGGGCACACCTAAATCAGAACACGGCCGTGTTCCTAGGCCGTGCTTTTACTGCCGAGACTTGATCTGGGGTTGAAAAACACGAGCTCAAAACACGACCGTGCCCACCAAAAGCACGCCCGTGTTTTCACCAACAGGCTGGCCGTGTAATTAACCCTTTGCAAAACACGGGCGGGCTGAAGCATAACACGGCAGTGCCCTTGACCGTGTTTTGCCCAGTGATGCCCTTTTAGGCAGATTTCAGCCAAAACAGAAAGGGATTCGAGTTTTAGAGAGACAGACCGATTCCTAGAAAGAGAAAGCGACGAACAAGAGTTCCCAAGTGCCCTAGCTTGATCTTCATCACCATTGGAGCTTGGCTTGAGCTTGGAGAAGTGCCGATCAACGTCCAAGAGCAGAAATCCATTCTTCACAGTATGATTTCCGCGTCTGAATCTGCTTTTGCTTCTTTCTCCATGGAGTAGTTATCCCATTCATCTGGGTATGGGAAACCCTAGATTTGTATGTTAGGTTTGATTGTATGAACCCAAGTACTGATTCTATGATTTGATTATATTCAATTGAGGTTTGAATGATTGAATGGCATGAATCTTGATCAAATTCCTGTTGTTTCTGCTTTAACCTAGAATGAGAATATCTTCCTAGGTTGATAGAGCATCCTTGATTGAAGGTAGGGAGTTGGTGACTTTAGTCGAGGAGCCAACTCACTATTCTGTACCGAATTCACTTCGGTAGTGGAGGTTTTGTTCGTTAGGGCCTCAATCTGTTTCCTCCGGTGGAGGTTAGTCGCCCGCTAGAGAATCAGATTGAGAGGGTTTGGAGACCTTTAGTCGAGACTTCAGACTGCTTAAGAACCTTCCACAGTATAACTATCATAGAAATTGAACTTGGTAATTGGAATCCGACTTAACTGCAGTCTAGGGGGAACCATATCCAGGTGACCTCTCTTAACCTGAAAACAACCGTTTAGTTGCTTTGCTTGTTTGTTAGTTTAGACTTGCATTAAAGTTTCATTGCTAGATAACAAGAATTCACCGAGTAGTCATCAAATCTAGGACCCGGGTTGACATTAAAACCCAAACCCGCTATACTACGCTTTAGGAAGTGGTTACACTTGGCCAATTCCTAGAGTGACAATAGAAGTGAGTCAAGTTTTTGGCGCCGTTGCCGGGTACGGCTAGGTTGTTGAAAAAAGTGATTTCTGTTAATTTAGCTTTTCTTTTCGCTTTGTTTGCTTTGTCCCACTTGTGCCTTCACGGGTTTGCTTGCTTGAGTGTGTGCAGGTAGTGCATGACCCGTAGCCAGTCGGGAGGTTTACTGCCGTTGAATCCAGAGATTGACCGCATCTGTCACCAACTCAGGAGACAACAGCGAGCTAGACTGGCTACGGAAGAGCGCATAGACGGCCACCTGAGTAGCGCTTCTTAGGAAGAGTACGGGATGGACGGAGAATACAATCCACACCAGGGGAATCCTCAGCAGGCTCGCCCGGTGAATCAGGTCCTGGGGAACAACCCCATACCCCAGGCAGATGGGGTTCATCATCATCATCACCCGCCGCCGGGTCCCACCTTGGAGTACTACTACACTCCACGGATTGCTGACATCCGCCCAGTCATCCTCTACCCGCCTATTCCAGCAAACAACTTTGAGATCAAGCCATGTTGGATTCAGCTCATTACATCCTCTATCCAGTTCCATGGCTTGAAGGATGAGGAGGCCAGGGTACATCTTTCCCGTTTTATGCAGCTGACGAACGGGTTCAAACTGAATGGTGTCCCCAATGATGCAATCCGCCTTCACCTTTTCCCCCATTCTCTGGTGGGGAATGCTAAGAGGTGGTTGGAGACCCAGCCCCCATTGTCCATCACCTCTTGGGACGATCTGGCTGACAAATTCATGCACGGGTACTATCCGGCATCGAAGACTACAGAGATCCAGGGGGAGATCACTCACTTCCGCCAAGAGCCAGATGAGTCACTTCGTGATGCTTGGGAGCGGTACATGGGATATTTCTGGCAGTGTCCCCACCATGGCTTCAGTGATGCATTCACAGTGGGGAACTTCTACAGTGCCCTCTCTCCGGACAGCCAGAGGGTGATTGAGTCTCTATGCCCAGGAGGGGATATTCTTACTAAGACTCCACCCGAGCTGAATCAGATGATCAATACCTTGGCTGCCAGAGATCATTCTTGGGGGCAGAGCAGTAGAGGCAGACATTCCCGGGACTGTGGTGTGCACGCCATGGAGACCAGATCCGGGCTCGAGCAGCAGGTAACTGAGTTAGTGCAGACATTGAAGCAGCCCAACAGTCTTATTCCGGGCAGAGGTTTGGCAACACCTCCAGTAGCTCAATGTCAGTGGTGTGAGAGCTCAAATCACATAGTGGAAGATTGCCAGGCTATGAGGGAGTCTACTACTCCCCAAGAGCAGTTGGACTTCATCGCCAATGCTCGACGCCTCGACCCGTACAACAACACATATAATGAGGGGTGGCGCCAGCATCCCAATTTCGCCTGGAGCAGCAACACCACTAAACCACCTGGTTTCCCAGCACCAGCCGGTGGTTTTCAGTAGAGGCAGCCTTTCCAGGCTAGACAGGGGCCAGCCCCACAGCAGCAGCCCTACCAGCCTAGGCAGGGGCAACCATTCCAGCAGCCCCAGCGTCAGTTTGCCGAGCCAGCAGCAGCTCTGGCTC